TTATGCCTACATAATTATGTGTTCTGAAGTAAGTTATAGTTTAATTAGGTAGCTAAACTATTAAAAAAAAAAAGTGTTAACCTAAAAAAAAAAAAAGCCTACCCCTTCCTTAAAGAGAAGTCACAAATATGAGTTGGGGCCAGGCGCAGTGGCTCACACCTGTAATTTTAGCACTTCAGGAGGCCCAGGTGGGCATATCACTTGAGCCCAGGAGTTCAAGACTAGCCTGGGCAACATGGCAAAACCCTATCTCTACTAAAAATACAAAAATTAGCTGGGTGTGGTGGCACACGCCTGTAGTCCCAACTACTTGGGAGGCTGAGGTGAGAGGATTGCTTGAACTGGGGAGGTGGAGGTTGCAGTGAGATGAGATCATGCCACTGCACCCCAGCCTGGGTGACAGAGCGATACCCTGTCTCAAAACAAAAACAAAACCAAAAAACCAGATATGACTTGAGAAGCTATGAGGCAGGCAGGGGAGGGAACTAATCCCAACCTTGAGTAACAGATCAGGCCCTCAGGAAATTTAGAGACGTCTAAGGAATATTTTATGGCTCAATCTGAGCTTTTGCTAGGTTAACATTTAGTTTTAAGCATAAATTTATGCTTTCAAAAATATTTTTGAGGCATAAGGGATATTCTCTCCTTAAGGAATTTGTAGTCTGGTTAGGAGAAATAGTTGATTGCAGTATGATGTAATAGATGTTATGAGAGAAGTTTGTATGGGCACACCCAGGTGCAGAACCTAATGTAGAGGGTGGAGTGGGGAAGTAAACAATGTTAGAGAAGGTTATGTGGAAATGTGACCCCTGTACTTAATCCTTAACTACAAGGAGGAGTTGTGGAAGGAAGAATATTGGTTCTTCTTGACACAGCAGTGTGTGCAAAGGCCAGGAGGGGAAAGAGACCAAAGAAAAGACTAGTGGGCTGGATGCGGTGGCTCACGCCTATAATCCCAGCACTTTGGGAGGCCGAGGTGGGCGGATCACAAGATCAGGAGATTGAGACCATCCTGGCTAACATGGTGAAACCCCATTTCTACTAAAAATACAAAAAAAAATTAGCTGGGTGTGGTGGCGGGCGCCTGTAGTCCCAGCTACTCGGGAGGCTGAGGCAGGAGAATGGCGTGAACCCAGGAGGCAGAGCTTACAGTGAGCTGAGATCGTGCCACTGCACTCCAACCTGGGTGACAGAGCGAGACTCCGTCCAAAAAAAAAAAAGAAAAGAAAGAAAAGGCTAGTGAATAACCACTTTTGATTTGTTTTGTTTTGTTTTGTTTTTTCACAAGGTCTCACCATGTTCCCAAAGGCCAGCCAACTCTTGGCCTCAAGCAATCCTCCTGCATTAGCCTCTGGAGTAGCTGGGATTACAGGTGGGAGCCACTGTGCCCCACCAGCCACTTAGTTTAAATGCTATACAAAGCCATTTGGATTCCATCCTTAAGGCTGAGAGGATGTTTGAAAGATTTTTAAGCATGAGGGCAGGGAGTTATATTATTACACTTGACGTTAAAGATTGTCCTGGCTATAGCAGGAAAAATAGAATTAGAGATCCTCTAGGCCTGGCAGTATGGTGGTCAGATATTAAGTCTTGATAAGCTTAATGTTTAATGTATTATTGAGTCTTGGAAAGTAGAAATAATCTTCAAGGGGCCCCCAAACACCAAAATTAAAATCCAAGAGGTGAGCAATAAAGATAACATGAGGATCAAATTACCCTGGGGTAAACTACCAAATCAGTCTTGAGATTCAGGAGTTGGTTGGTCAGGAATAAACTTGATGGTGGAGGTAAAGTGGGAAAACTAGGCTTAAATGTGCTCCCAGTTGTGTAGCACTCCCATATTCCCTCTGTTCTTGGCTCTTGGCAGAAACAAATGCAGATCTTTCCCTCTGGAGGAAGAGGTCCTCAATTTAGGCCTCCAAAATCTCATAAATTCACAAAATGTTAAATTGTGAACCTCTTAAAGATCATCAAACATACAAACAAGGAAGAAGTGACAAAGTCCTCAGATATTGTCAGATATCAAAGACTCCATATATAGTCACATATTAAACTAAAAATATGACATTTTTAAAGAAATAAAATAATCACAAAATGAATAGCAAAAAATCACAAATCACCAGGCAAATGTAAAAAATAACTAAATAAAACTTTTACTAATGAAAAATTATTGAAATCAAAATCTCAGGGTTACTTTGAATTAGTAAATAGGAAGCCAAATATTTTTTAAAAACTCTCCAGAGGCTGGACGTGGTAGCTCATGCTTGTAATTCCAGCACTTTGGGAGGCCGAGGCAGGCGGATCACCTGAGGTCAGGAGTTCAAGACCAGCCTGGCCAACATGGTAAAACTCCGTCACCACAAAAATACAAAAATTAGCCAGGCGTGGTGTTGTGTGCCTGTAATCCCATCTACTTGGGAGGCTGAGGCAGGAGAATTGCTTGAAACCGGGAGATGGAGGTTGCGGTGAGCCGAGATTGTGCCATTGCACTCTAGCCTGGGCGACAGAACAAGACTCCGTCTCAAAAACAAACAAACAAAAACTCTCCAGAAAGCAATACAGAGAACAAGCAAATGGAAAATACAAAAGAGAGGTTAAAAGACGGGGTTAAAATAAGAAATACTGAAGTCCTTAGAATTCTTTCCTTCTTTATTCTTAGAAGGAAAGAATAAAGAAAATAGAGACCTAAGAGCTGAGAATTTTTGAAGCTAAGAAATGAAACCACGGTTATAGGAAGCACAACATATACCAAACAGAATAAATAAATTCATGCACAGTCATGTTGTAGTCAAACTGCAAAACACCAAGAGAGAAGATCTTAAAGGACCAAAGAAAAGATACACCACCTACAAAGAAACCACAATCAGTAAGAAAGATAGATGTCTCACTGCTGTATTAGAAGCTGGAAGAGTAAGACATACTATCTTCAATGTGATAAGAGAAAATGATCAACCTGGAATTTTATCTCCAGAGAAACTGTCTTTCAAGGATGATGGTGAAATACAAAGACATTTCAGATAAGCAAAATAGAAACTGCGTCCAACAGACTTTCACTTAAGGAAATTCTACTTTAGGAAGAAGGAAAAGGGTACCAGAAAGGAAGTCTGAGATACAAGAAGGAATGGTGAGCAAAGAAATTCATAAGAACCTGTGTAAATCTAAACAAGTGCTACCTGCATAAAATAATGATGATGATGATGATGATATATAATTTCTGAGGCTAAAAAAAGACAGTACTGGACAATAAGAAAGTGGTTAAAATATTAATATTTAAAATTTAGGTTTTATGTTAATTTTAAATTAATATATCATGCATGTTAAAATTTCAAGGATAACTTCTAAAAGTACATAACTTCCAAGCCAGTAAAGAGGAAAATTGAATTTAAAATTTTTTTAAATAAAAAGTTATTTTAGCTAGGTGCAGTGGCTCATGTCTGTAGTCTGAGCTACTTAGGAGGCTGAGGCAGGACAATTGTTTGAGCCCAGGTGTTCAAGTCTACAATGAGTTATAATGGCCCCACTGCACTTCAGCCTGGGTAACAGAGCAAGACCCCACCCCATCTCTTAAAAAAAAAAAAAGTAACCCCAAAATATGCACAACTGTGATCTATCAGTAAAACAGCACCAAAAAACAACCACTTAAAAATTTCTCTATTTAGCTTTGTGACCTCTGTTATGCTGCATAACCTCTGTAAACCTTAGTTTTCTCATCTTTAACGTGTGGATAGTAGTAGTACTTCCTTTATAGGGTTGTTGTGAAGATATAATCAGATAGTGCAGGTAAAAAGCTTAGCACAAATCTAGTACATAATAAGTATTAGCACATATCTAGTATATAACAAGTATTCAATCGACATTAGTAATTAGATGTTAGTTACTGCTGTTAGACAATACCAGTGGCTCTCTTATATGTATATTCCCTATACAAAGGGAAGGGGAACTAACATTTTAAGTGCCTGCTATATGCCAGGCACTATACTAAATGCTTTCTTATATATTGCATCTCATGTAACCCTCACAACAATCTTGTGGAAATATATATTAGTGTCTGCATTTTATAGATGAGGACAATGTACTTCAGAAAGGTTAAGTAACATACTCAAGGCGCTTAATGACAGTAGGTTTCTATTATACCTTCCATTAAAAGAACTTCAAATTGGCCGGGCACGGTGGCTCACTCCTGTATTCCCAGCACTTTAGGAGACTGAGGCTGGCAGATGACAAGGTCAGGAGTTTGAGACCAGCCTGACTAACATAGTGAAACCCCATCTCTACTAAAAATATAAAAATTAGCTGACACCTGTAATCCCAGCTACTCAGGAGGCTGAGGCAGGAGAATCACTTGAACCCAGGAGGTGGAGGTTGCAGTGAACTGAGATCATGCCACTGCACTCCAGTCTAGGAGACAGAGCAAGTCTCCATCTCCAAACTTCAAATTAATACATATCTAGGAGGATTAAAAGCGCAAATGGTTTTTACTTTTTTCTGACTTATTTTACCCCACTCTGAAATTTAGTGTCAAGGAAACAGATTTCAGGAAAAGCCAAAATTCTCCTCAAAAATTAAAATTTTGCATGTCAAGCCAGGTGCAGTCACTCACGTCTGTAATGCCAACACTTTGGGAGGCCAAGGTGGGAGGATAGCTTGAGGCCAGGAGGTCAAGGCTGCAATGAGCCATGATCATGCCACTGCATTTCAACCTGCGGGAAAAAGCGAGACCCTGTCTCAAAAAAAAAAAAAAAAAAAAATTGCATGTCATTTATTGACTGGCAGCAAACCATGGGAATTCACTAAAGATCTTGAAATCAGACAGAAAATCTTATTTGGGGGTGTTTAAGAGGATTAAAGAAACATCATCTTCTCTTACTCTGTACTTTGCTTTGAGTTCATGTAGTACGATGTGAAACGAATCACAACAAAGTGGCCTGTTCTTAGGGTGCCTGCTGGAAGTCAGTATTCCTCTCAGAACATTCTTTCTCTTCTCTTTTCTCCTTTCCTAGGGTTACACATCTTTCTGGAATGACTGCATATCATCTGGCCTGCGAGGGGGCATCCTGATAGAGCTGGCCATGCGGGGTCGAATCTATCTGGAACCCCCGACCATGCGTAAGAAGCGACTACTAGACAGAAAGGTACTGAATCCTCTGTGAACGTCCATGGCTTATGGAAAGGCAAATACCAACAGTACATTTGGGAAGAACAGAAAGATTTGAGTAGTAAGATAAAATAAATATCACTGACTCAACAGTTCCATTGGCTAAACAGGTTAATTATCCTATAGCAAGAGGGAGAAATCAAAGTATCCATAGTCCAAAGAGTTATAGGAAGCTTCTGGTTTTGTCTTCCTTTTTTATGCAGAAAAATCACACTTAGGATGCTGTTGATTAAACTCCTCCTATATCTATAACTATAACATTATGAAATAACCAGGCGCGGTGGCTCATGCTTGTAATCCCAGCACTTTGGGAGGCCAAGGCAGGTGGATCACGAGGTCAGGAGATCGAGACCATCCTGGCTAACACGGTGAAACCCCGTCTCTACAAAAAAATATTTTTAAAAAAAATTAGCTGGGCATTGTGGCAGGCGCCTGTAGTCCCAGCTACTCGGGAGGCTGAGGCAGGAGAATGGCGTTAACCTGGAAGGCGCAGCTTGCAGTGAGCCGAGATTGGGCCACCACACTCCATCCTGGATGATAGTGCAAGACTCCATCTCAAAAAAAAAAAAATTATGAAATAGAGTATGATGTAAGGGGAGGGACTCATATGGGTCAGATCAGTCATTGATTAACCCTGGTTATTCTCCAATAACTATTCTCTTTCCTTCCATTTACTGCAAGTCCTTTCCAACCATACTCCTGTATCCATTTTCTTACTGAATTTTTCCACTCACAACTTCTTTATCATCCTAAGCACTCAACTTAAACTACATTCTTAGGTATCACCAGCTTCTTTTCAGTCTTTGATTTATTTTTCTCTTTTCACCTATATGTGGCATTTGACAATTTTTATCACTTTGAAACTTTCTTCATTCTTGGCCTTTGTTATTATCTTTTTCTCTTGCTTCTCTGACTGTACACTGTTTCCTTACTTCTCCATTCCTTAACATCCAAGTCTCAGTTTGTATCCCTTGAGTGATTTTCTATCCTTTCAGAGATATCATTTACCTTTATAGCTTCATCTGTCACCTTCATGAGATTAATTTTCAAATTTCTAGGCAAGTTTTGTTTTTCCACCTCCAGAAACATATTTAACTATTGGCTAGAAATTTCAACTTGGCTATCCCATATCATTTAAAACTAAACTTAACAAAAAACAAAGAAAATCAAATTATCAACCTTTCCCCAAAACTGACTTCCTTTTCTGGCTTTCCTACCTTTATTTATTTATTTATTTAAATTTTAATTTTTTTAATAGAGACAAGATATTGCCATGTTGCCCGGGCTGGTCTCAAACTCCTCAGCTCAGGTGATCCATCTGCCTCAACCTCCCAAAGTGCTAGGATTACTGGCATGTTTCCTACAGATGTTTCCTACCTTTATTAATGGTTTCAAAACTGAGCCCAGATGTTTCCTACCTTTATTAATGGTTTCAAAAGTTGGTTTCCAGACTCAAAATGAGTTGTTATTGAAACTTTTCTCCATTATCATTCAAATTCAGTTTGTCACTAGGGCCCACTTCCAATGTTATTTTTGTCTTCACATTATCACTCCATACTATATTTTAAACTTCTTGAGGACAGGGATAGTATATTATGCTTCCTTACATTTCTTGCAACACTTAACCAGTAACATATATATGATATATTGAAAGATTTTAACTTGAATGAAGTGAAGGAATCAGGGTTCCTTCTTTCTCCTTTTCTCAAAGGTACTGCTAAAGTCAGACAGTCCAACAGGTGATGTTTTACTGGATGAAACTCTCAAACACATCAAAGCAACTGAACCCACAGAAACTGTCCAAACATGGATAGAGCTACTCACTGGTAAGATGACTTAAAATAATATATGAATTTCACACTTCGTTATCTTTATCCTACCCTGAAATTTAGTAAAAGAAGTACCGAAATTCATCATGCTGGATGAGATAGATGTGGTTCACTATTTAATTCTAATGAGGGACAGAAAAAGCATGGCTAATTGATACCTAAAGTTTTCCAAAGCTTCACCTTATCTTCTGCCACCCCACCCCAAAAGCTCTTTAACAGTATTCTTCACAAGAAACTTTTAAAACATCTTTATAGAGAGGACAATGAGAATATTGGCATTGATGCAATCTATTATTCTTATTAGAATTTCCCAGTTTTAATTTGCCAAATAATATTTTATTGCATGGCCATTCCACATTTGTTTATCCAGTCATCAGCTGATGAATATTTGGGTTATTTCCACATTTTGGCTGTTGTGAATAATACTGCTGTGAACATGCATGGACAAGTTTTTATTTGAACATGTTTTCATTTATTGTGAGTGTGTAGCTAGGAGTAGATAACTGGGTCATATGGTAAATTGAGTAACATTTTTATTGTGGTAAAATATAACATTTATTTATTTATTTATTTATTTATTTATTTATTTATTTAATTTTCCGAGATGGAGTCTTGCTCTGTCTCCCAGGCTGGAGTACAGTGACGCGATCTCAGCTCACTGCAACCTCTGCCTTCCAGGTTCAAGTGATTCTCCTGCTTCAGCCTCCCAAGTAGCTAGGATTACAGGCACGTGCCACCACACCCAGCTACTTTTTGTATTCTTAGTAGACAGGGTTTCACCATGTTGGCCAGGCTGGTCTTGAACTCTTGACTTCAAGATCTGCCCACCTCGGCCTCCCAAAGTGCTGGGATTATAGGCGTGAGCCACCACACCCAGCCAACATTTATTATTATTTTAGCCATTCTTAATGGCTTAAGTGTACAATTCTGTGAAATTAAATATATTTGCAGTATTTTGTAACCATCACCTCTATCTATACTATACCGAAAGCTTCCTCATCATTACCCCCTAAAACTCTGTACCTATTAAATGATAACTTCCTCTTTCTCTCTCCCCCTAGTCCCTGGCAACCTCTATTCTACTTTTTGTCTGTATGAATTTGCTTACTCTAGGTACCTCATATAAGTAGAATTATACAATATCTGTCATTACTTTGCCTAGCTTATTCACTAAGCATAATGTTTTCAAGGTCCATTCATGTCACAGCATATATCAAAATTTCATTCCTTTTTATGGTTGAGTGATATTCCATTGTATGTATATAACATTTTTGTTTAACTATTCATCTGTTGATGGATTCCACCTTTTGGCTATTATGAACAATGCTGCTGTTAACATTGATATACAAATATCTGTTCAAGTTCCTGCTTTTAATTCTTTTGGATATATACCTAGGAATGGAATTGCTGGGTCATATGGCAGTTTAACCTTTGAGAAATCACCAGACATTTCCACAGAGACTGCACCATTTTATATTCCCACCAGTAGTGCACCAGGGTTCCAATTTATCCACATCCTGATAACCACTTGTTCTTCTCTTTCTTTTCTTTTTTTAATTATAGGCATTCGAGTAGGTCTGAAATGTTATCTCATTGTGGTTTTGATTTTTATTTTCAAATGAAAATAGTTTTCATGTCATTCCTATTGACTAAAAATATTGAGCATATTTTTATGTGCTTACTGACCATTTATATATCCTCTGTGGAGAAATATAAAATACTTTTTCCATTTTTAAGTTTGATTGTTTTGTTGTTGAGGGTTTTTTTCGTATTTATTTATGAGATGGGGTATCACTCTGTCACCCAGGATGGAGTGCAGTGGTGCGATCTCGGCTCACTGCAATCTCTACCTCCCGGGCTCAAGGGTCCTCCCACCTCAGCCTCCCGAGTAACTGGGACTATGGGCATGCACCATCACACCTGGCTAATTTTTTGTAGTTTTGGTGGAGACAGGGTTTTGCTATGTCACCCAGGTTGGTTTCTGAACTCCTAAGCTCAGACAGTCTACCCATCTTGGTCTCCCAAAGTGCTGGGATTTCAGGTGTGAACCACCATGCCTGGCCAGAAGTTCTTTGTATATATTCTGGATATTAATCTTACCAAGAACAGCTCAGTCATGGCGACCCTAACCCAGAGGTGCTAGAGGAATTAAAGACACACATACACAGAAATATAGAGTGTGGAGTGGGAAATTAGGGGTCTCACAGCCTTCAGAGCTGAGAGCCTTGAACAGAGATTTACCTACATATTTATTGACAGCAAGCCAGTCATGAGGTTTACTAAAAGTATTCCTAGTGGGAAATAAAGGGATGGGCCGAAATAAAGGGATGGGCCCTGGCTAGTTATCTGCAGCATGAACATGTCCTTAAGGCACAGATCGCTCATGCTATTGTTTGTGGTTTAAGAATACTTTAAGCAGTTTTCCACCATGGGTGGGCCAGGTGTTCCTTGCCCTCATTCTGGTAAACCCACAGTTTTCCAGTGTGGGTGTCAAGGCCATCACAAGCATGTCACAGTGCTGCAGAGATTTTGTTTATGGCCAGTTTTGGGGCCAGTTTATGGCCAGATTTTTGGGGCCTATTCCCAACATGTCCCCCTTCTTTGTTTTGCAAAGCAATAAAAGCAAAGGCAGCTTTGTCAAGGTGAGCTACTTCTCACAGGGGTCAGGATCCGCATCTTCAGTCTATACAAAGACAAACAACACAGATTAATAACACAATCATCATTGAAATCACAGAACTTCCAAGTGTTTTTATCCATTTTAATGGGTTACTAGCTGTTAATCCATCTGCAGCTCCTTCATGCACTCCAGTTCCTGGCATTAAGGTCAGGTGTGCCTGGGATGCCTTAAATATTTGTTCTTTTAATTTTGCAATATCCAAAGACAAGTTTGTAGAGTGTCCTTCTAGATGCTTTTTTATTCTTTCCCAAATTTTGATCTCATTAAGTGCTATTAATAGTTTCCACAAATCCTTACATTTAGCCCCTACAGCGGGCCATATCATTTGAGGTTGAGGTGCCACTCTATTGCCACGTTTCCAGATAATAGGAACTCTTGCCGTACTTCTTACCATTTCTACCATCTGATCATTTTGTTCAGACCAGCTGAACATAGTGTGGCCATGGCATGCAGACTGAGAGGGGCAATTCAAGCTAAACATCCCCTTAGGGGACCAATCAATAATGATTCCATAGGAATCGTTGCGCAGCACCTCTTCGTGTTCTACAATGCAATGTTCCTAAACAAGTATGTTCATTTTTTTCTGGTCAGGTTCAATTTTGTTTACAAATAGGTTTTTGAGGGCGGTATGCCTCAATTATAGGAGCAGAATTATTATGGCAAATACTGAGATCAGAAAGCATGTGTAACTGTCATAGAGTGATTACATCCAGGCATTATTGCCAGCCAAGATTGATAAATATGCCCAATAAGTATAATTGTTCTCTGTGCCAGCCCTTGTTGAAGGAGGAATACTCATGGCAGTGGTGGTAACCGCTATCATAGCTATTGTTAAATTACTCATTGTGACTGGTTGTCCCGCTTTCCTCAGGTTTTCTTCCGCCATCTGTGACAGCTTCTTGATCTCTCCCCAGGTGGGTGGCTGTGTTCGACGGGTGTTGCTTGTGACAGTTGGGGTCCTCCTCAGCATCAGTCTCAACATGGCTGCAACCGGGGGGTCCTCGGGATCCTCCCAGAATCTCTTCCTCGGCATCTGTCTCATAATAAGATTTTAGGTGTCTTGATGGCATCCAAATCAGTGTTGATTCGGTCCTGGAGAAACACAAGCATAACCTCTACCCCAAGTTATTGTTTTACCTATTTCCCAACTTTTTCTTATCAGATCTTTCCACCAAACCAGTTGTTTTGCTTCTGTCATTGCAGCTGGTTTCTGTAGATGCTGTTCAGCTGCTGATAACATCTGGCCTTTAGGCAGTCTCGAAAAATTTGAAGTTAATAATGCTAGATTCAGTTGTATATTGGGTGTCATGTAATCCCTATTTCCCCCCGTTTTGTTTTTGCAACTGCTGTTTCAGGGAGAGGTTCATTCTTTCCACTACGGCTTGTCCTTGAGAATTATATGGGATATCAGTAATGTGTTTAATATTCCATATGGAGAAAAATGTAGCTAGAGCTTGGCTAGTATAGCCTGGGACATTATCTGTTTTAATAGAAGCTGGAATGCCCATCACCACAAAACACTGCAAAAGGTGATGTTTAACACAGGCAGAAGACTCTCCTGATTGGCATGTAGCCCAGACAAAGTGAGAAAAGGTGTCCACACATACGTGCACATAATCTAGTCTCCCAAACGAGGGAACATGTGTGACATCCATTTGCCAAAGGGAATTAGGTTCCAATCTTCGAGGATTAACTCCTCCTGTAAAAGATGAGGAATGTACCATTTGGCAAGTTGGGCTTGCTGGATAATAACTTTAGCTTCTTTCCAGGTAATGCTATATCTGCATTTGAGACCAGAAGCATTAACATGGGTTAAATTGTGAAAGTGTTTGGCATTAGATACTGCATTAGCATCTGGGCAATCAGCCATTTGATTCCCTTCAGTTAAAGGTCCTGGAAGAGGTTTATGAGCCCTAATGTGAGTGATGTAAAAAGGGTGCATTCTACTCCTAACTGCTGTTTGCAGTTGGGTAAATAAAGTCATCAGTTGTTCATCTGTATGAAATTATAACTGAGCATTTTCAATTAACTGAGTGGAATGAACCACATATGAAGAATCAGAAATCACATTAATAGGCATATTAAAAGCAGTCAATACCTCAATTACAGCTACAAGCTTTGCTTTTTGAGCTGAAGTATAGGGCATCTGTAAAACTTTACCTTTAGAGCCAAAATAAGAAACTTTACCATTATCAGCCCCATCTGTAAAAACATTCTCAACACCTTCAATTGGTTTAAATTTAGTTATTCTAGGGGAATCCAATTAGTCAGTTTCAAAAATTGAAACAGTTTCATTTTAGGAAAGGGATTATCGAGA